CGGGATTGACATCAGAAGCAGCGATCCCCGCCGTCGGTGTACTGTGGCAGCAATCGGGATTGACATCAGAAACAGCGATCCCCGCCGTCGGTGTACTGTGGCAGCAATCGGGATTGATATCAGAAACAGCGATCCCCGCCGTGGCTGTACTGTGGCAGCAATCGGGATTGACATCAGAAACAGCGATCCCCGCCGTCGGTGTACTGTGGCAGCAATCGGGATTGATTTCAGAATCAGCGATCCCCGCCGTCGGTGTACTGTGGCAGCAATCGGGATTGATATCAGAAACAGCGATCCCCGCCGTCGGTGTACTGTGGCAGCAATCGGGATTGATATCAGAAACAGCGATCCCCGCCGTGGCTGTACTGTGGCAGCAATCGGGATTGACATCAGAAACAGCGATCCCCGCCGTCGGTGTACTGTGGCAGCAATCGGGATTGATTTCAGAATCAGCGATCCCCGCCGTCGGTGTACTGTGGCAGCAATCGGGATTGATATAAGAAACAGCGATCCCCGCAGTCGGTGTACTGTGGCAGCAATCGGGATTGATATCATAAACAGCGATCCCCGCCGTCGGTGTACTGTGGCAGCAATCGGGATTGATATCAGAAGCAGCGATCCCCGCAGTCGGTGTACTGTGGCAGCAATCGGGATTGATATCAGAAACAGCGATCCCCGCCGTCGGTGTACTGTGGCAGCAATCGGGATTGATATCAGAAGCAGCGATCCCCGCCGTCGGTGTACTGTGGCAGCAATCGGGATTGATATCAGAAGCAGCGATCCCCGCCGTCGGTGTACTGTGGCAGCAATCGGGATTGATATCAGAAACAGCGATCCCCGCCGTCGGTGTACTGTGGCAGCAATTCGGGATTGATATCATAAACAGCGATCCCCGCCGTCGGTGTACTGTGGCAGCAATCGGGATTGATATCAGAAGCAGCGATCCCCGCCGTCGGTGTACTGTGGCAGCAATCGTGATTGATATCAGAAGCAGCGATCCCCGACGTCGGTGTACTGTGGCAGCAATCGGGATTGATATCAGAAGCAGCGATCCCCGCCGTCGGTGTACTGTGGCAGCAGTCGGGATTGATATCAGAAGCAGCGATCCCCGCCGTCGGTGTACAATCAACCGAGTCACCAAGCCCGACCACCGCGATGCACTAAGTCGCCTGGATGTGTTGCTGGGACTGACTCAAACTCGGAATGACCACTTTTGTCTACAGGGTAATCATTCTGTACAAATTACATTTACCCAGGGCCACTGGCCCAGCGTTTCAGGGTAGATAGTGAGTGAGTGAGTTGGGTTTAACGCCGCTTTTAACAGTATTCCAGTTATATCGCGGCGTGTCAGCTTAATGTGGGAGGAAAGCCCCAAGTGATGCAGGTCTCAGACGTTTACCACTTCGGTGAAACCCACGAGCACGGGTATGGTGCTGACAAACCTAGAAACATAATTGGGGCGAACCGGGATTCGAACCCACAATCATAGGTTTCTGGCGTGCCTAAGGGACGCAACTCTGCACAGCGAATCGCGGCGCCTTAGACGACTGGGCCACCCGTGCCCCCTCAGGGTAGATAGATTATTGCGATGTGTATGCACTTGGATGCACACGTGCATGTACTAGTCCGGACTGATGCCGATTTCAGAGTTCTATCCCACTGGGATACCATGCCACAGTTTAACGTGAATACCCAACTCAGACACAGTATACTGACTCCGAGCAGTTTAAACAAGGACCAGTCCTTGTTTAACCCCTTAATGTCGAGCGCCAGACAGGGTAACAACAAGTACCATCTTTTAACTTCTTTTGGTATGACGCGGCCGGGGATCGAACACCGTACCTACCGCTCTCCGGGCGGACGCCCTACCACTAGACCACGGAGGCGGTCGGTCATTATGATATATAACGCGTGTTATATAAGGTCGGTAATGTACGGCCCAGAAACCGCTAAATGTCATCAACGGCGGGTGGCATGTTTGCGTCACGGCGCATGCGCATATACCATCAGTGTATTCAGTGATGATGCTCCACCCCTGGGATTAAAAAAAAGCATGGATAATTTTCCGAACTTGGTAAAAACGGCCCTAACGCGCTTCCGTACACAGCTATCCATGGACTCCGAGTGAAAACTATTCAACTATAAATTCTGAAACATTATAGCACACGCCGCATGCGGATATCGTTATCCTGGAAGAATAATAGGGCAGTTTGTGAAACCCGAAACGCTGGAGTAATATAATTGCGATTTTCAAGAAAACTACACGTAAATCATGTGACATTTCTTTACCCCCCTGGCAAAGATGTAGGTTGCGCAGCCTTCGAAGCTAGACCCTGACAAGCGCACAGAGGGCATTGGTGTTTGCAATTATAATGAAATTTTGTAGGTGTAAGAAAAGTTGTTTGAAATAGGACACCAGATTGACGCCGATGATCAGAAATTCTTACGGCCGGTGTTTAGTTATAGTTTTTGTATTTGAAAAATATTCTGACACATTATGCATTTTTAATTCAGTTTAAATCCAGATTAAGAGGTTTTCACTTTTTCACAAAGGACTTTCGTGTTACATTGTAAAAACATTCCGCTTGATATTTATTTAAAAAGGAACATGAAGAATGATTTCTTTTAGCTCTTGCTCGCGATGTTGAGCTGTGACTGACACATCCATTTACTCCTACATCGTGAAGAGACGGGTAATGTGACGGGGAGTGATGTGTGCAAATATAAATATGAATATTCATTCTTGCTACCAGAGAGCAGTGATAGAAACACGAAGGCGCTGCTTCAGAAACCAGAATCTCCTGACATTTAATGACAGGGAGCTAATCCACCATTGATGTAGGAGAGAGTATTGACAATGTCCATACACCGACATATTCGGGAGGGTTGGGGATAATACTGGTGAGTAGGGAATGTCAGGCGGTGTTCAGAGCTTGGGGTGAGGTTGAGGATGACGACGAGGATGAGGTTGAGGATGAGGACGAGGATGAGGGTGAGGGTGAGGACGAGGACGAGGGTGAGGGTGAGGACGAGGATGAGGGTGAGGTTGAGGTTGAGGACGAGGACGAGGGTGAGGTTGAGGATGAGGGTGAAGATGAGGACGAGGGTGAGGATGAGGATGAGGTTGAGGATGAAGATATGGACGAGGGTGAGGTTGAGGATGAGGGTGAAGATGAGGGTGAGGTTGAGGATGAGGACGAGGATGAGGGTGAGGGTGAGGACGAGGACGAGGGTGAGGGTGAGGACGAGGATGAGGGTGAGGTTGAGGTTGAGGACGAGGACGAGGGTGAGGTTGAGGATGAGGACGAGGGTGAGGATGAGGATGAGGTTGAGGATGAAGATATGGACGAGGGTGAGGTTGAGGATGAGGGTGAAGATGAGGGTGAGGTTGAGGATGAGGATGAGGGTAAGGGTGAGGTTGAGGACGAGGGTGGGGGTGAGGTTGAAGATGGGGGTGAGGTTGAAGATGAGGGCGAGGATGAGGATGAAGATGAGGATGAGGATGAGGATGAGGTTGAGGATGAAGATATGGACGAGGGTGAGGTTGAGGATGAGGGTGAAGATGAGGGTGAGGTTGAGGATGAGGGTGAGGGTGAGGACGAGGATGAGGACGAGGATGAGGACGAGGATGAGGGTGAGGGTGAGGACGAGGATGAGGGTGAGGGTGAGGATGAGGATGAGGGTGAGGGTGAGGATGAGGGTGAGGGTGAGGGTGAGGATGAGGGTGAGGGTGAGGACGAGGATGAGGGTGAGGATGAGGGTGAGGGTGAGGGTGAGGACGAGGATGAGGGTGAGGGTGAGGGTGAGGGTGAGGGTGAGGACGAGGATGAGGGTGAGGGTGAGGATGAGGGTGAGGGTGAGGACGAGGACGAGGGTGAGGATGAGGGTGAGGGTGAGGGTGAGGACGAGGACGAGGGTGAGGACGAGGATGAGGGTGAGGATGAGGACGAGGATGAGGGTGAGGGTGAGGGTGAGGACGAGGATGAGGGTGAGGGTGAGGACGAGGGTGAGGACGAGGGTGAGGGTGAGGGTGAGGACGAGGACGAGGGTGAGGACGAGGATGAGGGTGAGGATGAGGACGAGGATGAGGGTGAGGGTGAGGGTGAGGACGAGGATGAGGGTGAGGGTGAGGACGAGGGTGAGGACGAGGGTGAGGGTGAGGGTGAGGACGAGGATGAGGGTGAGGATGAGGGTGAGGGTGAGGGTGAGGATGAGGGTGAGGGTGAGGTTGAGGGTGAGGGTGAGGATGAGGATGAGGGTGAGGTTGAGGACGAGGACGAGGACGAGGGTGAGGGTAAAGAGGACGAGGGTGAGGGTGAGGGTGAGGATGAGGGTGAGGGTGAGGACGAGGATGAGGGTGATGATGAGGGTGAGGTTGAGGACGAGGACGAGGGTGAGGGTAAAGAGGACGAGGGTGAGGGTGAGGTTGAGGGTGAGGACGAGGGTGAGGTTGAGGATGAAGATGAGGACGAGGGTGAGGGTGAGGGTGAGGACGAGGGTGGGGGTGAGGTTGAGGATGAGGGCGAGGATGAGGATGAGGGTGAGGATGAGGTTGAGGTTGAGGATGCGGTTGAGGTTGAGGGTGAGGATGAAGATGAGGACGAGGATGATGGTGAGGATGATTGTGAGGACGAGGGTGAGGATGAGGGTGAGGATGAGGGTGAGGACGAGGGTTAGGGTGAGGATGAGGGTGAGGATGAGGATGAAGATGAGGGTGAGGATGAGGATGAGGGTAAGGGTGAGGATGAGGATGAGGACGGGGGTTAGGGTGAGGATGAGGGTGAGGATGAGGGTGAGGATGAGGATGAGGACGAGGATGAGGGTGAGGATGAGGGTGAGGACGAGGATGAGGGTGAGGGTGAGGACGAGGATGAGGGTGAGGGTGAGGATGAGGATGAGGGTGAGGGTGAGGATGAGGATGAGGGTGATAATGAGGATGAGGGTGAGGGTGAGGGTGAGGATGAGGATGAGGATGAGGGTAAGGGTGAGGGTGAGGATGAGGGTGAGGGTGAGGGTGAGGACGAGGACGAGGGTGATAATGAGGGTGAGGATGAGGGTGAGGATGAGGATGAGGATGAGGGTAAGGGTGAGGGTGAGGATGAGGATGAGGGTGAGGGTGAGGATGAGGATGAGGATGAGGGTGAGGGTGAGGGTGAGGATGAGGATGAGGGTGATAATGAGGGTGAGGATGAGGGTGAGGGTGAGGATGAGGGTAAGGGTGAGGACGAGGATGAGGATGATAATGAGGGTGAGGATGAGGGTGAGGATGAGGATGAGGACGAGGATGAGGGTGAGGATGAGGACGGGGGTTAGGGTGAGGATGAGGGTGAGGATGAGTGTGAGGGTGAGGATGAGGATGAGGACGAGGGTGAGGGTGAGGATGAGGGTGAGGATGAGGACGAGGATGAGGGTGAGGATGAGGGTGAGGATGAGGGTGAGGATGAGGACGAGGATGAGGGTGAGGATGAGGGTGAGGATGAGGGTGAGGGTGAGGATGAGGGTGAGGGTGAGGATGAGGGTGAGGGTGAGGATGTTATTTGTGCGCACAATTTCAATATTTCGTTTTTTACTGGGTGCTCATCTATAAAAGAAATGTTCATTTCATTTCATTTGTTTGTGGTTTAACAACGTTCCAGCTATATCACGGTGGTCTGTTAATAATCGAGCCTGCACCAGACAATCCAGTGATTGATATCATGAGCACTCGTCAACGCAAAAGGGATACAATGACATGAATTAACCAAGTTAGCGAACCTGACCACCCGGTCCCTTTAGTCGCCTCTAACGGCAAGCATGGGTTCCCGAAGATCCATTCTAACTCGGGTTCACGGGTCAACTTGTGAAATGACCTGATGTATATGTATGTAGTACGTGACACATCTTCCCGAGGCAAGGGTGTTAACTGACTATAAAAGTCCAGTTTCCACCCTTGCCGAACCCTCGATCGTAGCGCCACCAGTGGCTGTTACGAGTTAAATCCCTTCTATGCCTCTCCTATGGACCAATTAGATTCCACCTCTCGTATCACTTGCATTTGCTTCAAACAAAATGGCGGCGCCCAGTCAAGACGATCTGATGGACAATCAAGATCTATATTGTGAGAAAACGGGTCTTACATCGCGAACTTCATAAAATCATGTGAGCAAATGATTAAAAACTTTGAAAAGATTTGGAAAATATCTGTTGACGACATGCTGTGCGAATCCTGCAATCGACCGAAATCTGCACGACAGTTTACGAACCGGATTTCGATTTCGTTGCGCGATTTTGATTGGACTATGCATAGACTCGTTAGTCAAGCCAAAATGTAACTCCATAATACCAGCCTAGTTCGGCAAGGGTGGAAACTGGATTCTTATAGTCAGTTAACGCTCTTGTCTTGGGAACATGTACGTGACACTATAATGAACTATTTCTTCTGACTAAACTTTCTCCCAAAATGACTAAAGATCCGCAGAGAGAGCAAAGACACGGACAGAGGAGAGAGTCGAGACAATATCCCATTCCTTCCTCGTCACAGCGACATTGTGGTAAATAAGTCCATACCAATTTCACAACGGTTCACAGGTTTTGAAATCATCTACTGCATATGTAACCACCTTGACCAGCTTCATGTAACCTTCTCACTTAATCAGGGGCAGTGGGGTAGCCTAGTGGCCAAAGCGTTTGTCGTCACGTCGAAGACCCGGCTTCGATTTCCCACGTGGGTACAATGTGCGAAGCGCATTTCTGGCGTCCCCTGTCGTGATATTGCTGGGACATTTCTGGTGTCCGCCGCCGTGATATTTCTGGAATATTGCGTAAAGTGGTGTAAGACCATACTCACTCTCACCTAATCTGCCACGCGTGTTCCTAAATAACTATCGGAGAGCTACAATTCACGTATCTGCTTAAAATCAACATAAACAAACTACACCTACAAGTATGAAGAGAAATATTCGTAGGCTGACGTGTTCCCGGGCAGAGTCGTTAACTGACTATTAAAGTCCAGTTTCTACTCTTGCCGAACTAGGCTGGAATTCCGGAATTACATTTTGGCTGGATTAACGAGTCTATGCATAGTCCAATCCAAATCACGTCACGAACTAGACATCCCGTTCGCATACAACATGGATTTCAACACGCAGATTTCGGTCGACTGCAGGATTTGCAAAGAATGTGTACCGTCAGCTTGGCATCAACAGATAGTTTGAAAATCGTTTCATCTTTTTAATCAAGGTGCTCAAGTGATTTGATGCACTTCGCGAGGTAAAACCCTTTTATTTCAATATAGATCTTGATTATCGATCAGATCGTCTTGACTTGGCGCCGCCATTTTGTTTGAAGCAAATGCAAGTGATATGAGAGGTGGAATCTGATTGGTCAATAAAAAGGGCATAGAAGGGACATAACTTGTAATAGCCACTGGTGGCGCTACGATCGAGCCCAGGAATTCCAGCCTGGTTCGGCAATGGTGGAAATTGGACTTTTATAGTCAGTTAACGCCCTTGCCACGGGAAGATGTAGGCTGGTGACGTCATGTGTATATCCGAGAATAAGTAACGTTTTTTGGGGCATGTCAAGTGTGTAAGATGTACTCGTGTGTAATCATGTATTCATGGAACTCACAGATTCCACCATGCCCTCAGGGGAAATAGAAACCTTTGCATTTTCTTCAGAGTCGCTATTTTTATTGAAACTGTTTCGACGGGAAAGAAATTCCTACAGATGGTAACGTGAAACTTGTCACGTGAACCACATTAAAGAATGAAAAAAAACAGCCAGCAAAAAAACACAAAAATGTACTTTGTAGGTAAAGGATCACATCTTCCGCGTCTGTGGTTCAATAAGAATACAGGCGAAGATACATTAAAAATTAAATACATGACTTCATATAACAACATTGGCGGTAACATATATAAATATGGCCTCCTTTTAGTGACAACGAGGAAATACGAAATAAAATCACATGTGGTACGCAGAGTCAACTTTTTAAAAAAAACAAACATAATTGTGAATATGGCAATTCCTTTATATATATTTTCAGTAATTCAACTTCAAATCGTACCCTTGTATGACAAAGGGCCGTGTTCTATAGGTTTTCATCTGTTTCCGGCATACGCCGTGACATTCATCACGTGACCAACTCGTGTCATTCCGGAAGAAGACTTGCTCCTCTCGCGAAGGTCTCCATATTGGACACGAGAACTGCTTCAAACAAGACCGATAACTCTTATTCTAACCCTTATAACAGTAAAATGTAGGCGTTACGTCAGCGCGCGCTTTTCCTGTTGTTAAATTATTAAACCTCTCTGATATAAATGTTTATTTATAGATTCTATCATTTTGACCAAAAAAATGGTAAGGAGTTACATTCATTCTCAGCTGTCATGACTGAATTTGTCCTTACATTGACAAACTTAACAAATAGTATACACGTTTTATATGTGCTAATAACAATAACTGTATAAAGGAATGCTCTATTGACCATGTCCAGAGATCACGTCTTTGAAAGGCATTCAGACGTGATACACATAAGGCAGCGAATTTATGGATGTCAACTTCTTTATTATGAGGAACACGACGTTTCGGAGTACATTAAACTACGTTTATAACGAACACGCTTATAACGAACTGACGGATACAAGGAACTGTTTTTTGAACCAGTACATTTGCTATATATATAAATGCTGTAAATGTGCTTATAACGAACTACGGTTATAACGAACTAAATTAAGTGGTCCCTTTGAGTTCGTTATAATCGTAATTTACTGTATATACAAACAACATAGTATGACCCTTTTTGTATTCAAACCCCGAGGGATTTCCAAGTAGTCTTTGTCGTTAGTGGCGGGTGGTCAGGTTTGTTGACTTGGTTGATTGCGTGCTGTCGTACCTCGAACGCGTGGATCATTGCTTGCAGTATCAATAACTTGTTTGTCTGGTCAAATCTCGTTATGTACTCAAGTAACGACATGAATACACAATAAACGCTGGATATAAAATACAACCGCTTTGGTTTTGTTGGTATTAAACTAAAGAAATTGTGTAGGAATCGCATAGTCCCGTACATGTTTGATAAGCCAGAATATATGTACGTCACCAATGGAGGTTTGTCTTGTTAAAAAACCCTAATCTGAATTACATTAGTTTAACATTAACAGTTTCCGTAAGCACTTATTGCTAATATAGTAAACTACGGTTATAACGAACTCAAAGGGACCACTAATTTTAGTTCGTTATAACCGTTGTTCGTTAAAAGAATATACACAACATATTCACAGCAAATGGCCGGGGCAAGAAAAACAGTTCGTTATACCCGCCAGTTCGTTATAACCGTTGTTCGTTATAAACGTAGTTTACTGTATTTATACTACATCGTTCTAAAGTAAGTCTTGTTTTGTCTTTATAAATTTCGAAATACCTCGTTTGAATATCTTTGCGTGTCTGAGTACTGGTGGGTGGTCGGGTAGCCTAGTGGTTTGAAGCGTTCGCTCGTCACGCCGAAGACCCGGGTTCGATTCCCGACATGGGTACAATGTGTGAAGCCCATTTCTGGTGTCCCCCGCCGTGATATTGCTGGAATATTGCTGGAATATTGCTATAAGCGGCGTAAAACCATACTCACTCATTCAGAGTACTGGTATGCGTTGTTTAGTTCGTATGAATTTGTGGTACATCAAGCTGTATCTGGTTGTGGTTGGTTGGTTGGTTGGTTTGTTGTTTAACGCCGCACTTAGCAATATTCTAGCTATATGACGGCGGTCTGTAAATAATCGAGTCTGGACCAGACAATCCAGTGATTAATATCATGAGCATCGATCCACGCAATTCGGATCGAAGACATGCATCAACCAAGTCAGCGAGCCTGACCACCCGATCCCGTTAGTCGCCTTTTACGACAAGCATAGTCGCCTTTTACGGCAAGCATGGTATCTGGTTGTGAATGTTTATTGAGGAATCGATGTTTTTTAAACAGCTTGTAATTTTTGTCCAGTCATTTCTTGAATTGCTTGATAGGCATTACGTTTAAGTTGACGGATGACATAGCAGATACAAGGCTGCTTGACAACGGTATAAGGATCTATACCGAAACGTCGCCATTAAAGTAATTAAAGAAGTTGTTATTCATAAATTGTGTCAGTCATTTCTTTTCATGTAATAATGGTATGTGACATGGATTTGCTATAGCCCAGAGGAGTGTGCGTGTGTGTGTGTGTGTGTGTGTGTGTGTGTGTGTTGTGTGTGGTGTGTGTGATGCGTGTGTGTGATGTGTGTGTGTGAATGGTGTGTGTGTGTGTGTGTGTGTGTGTGTGTGTGTGTGTGTGTGTGTGTGTGTGTCAGACGTGTACCCCTTTGGTGAAACCCATAAGTACGGGTAGCACGGGTAGCACGGGCGTGCCCGCGTGCATGCGTGCGTGAGTGTGTATGTGCT